TTTTAAGAATTCAAATTTTATCAAAACATTTTTAAATAATTGATTTCTTTCGACGATTTTTAATAAAATTATTGAGAACAATTAGGTACATTTTTCGAGAAATGGTATTTGAAGAAAATACCATTTAATTGACTCCAATAAATATTATTTTCATTCAATTAAATATTTAATTGATAATAGTCAATTAATCGGTTATTTGAATCAAATAAATTTTTTTTCAGGGTAAGATAATACTACTTTTTGTTAATAAAAATGGATCAAATTAATACAAAAAATTTAAATCAATTTAAAATTGAATCCATTATTTTTTGTTATCAATTCGTTGCAGTTTGATACTTTTATTCAACAGTCTAACTAATTAGGAATTTTCGTATTTTTTTCGAGATAAAGAGTTTGGAACAAAACTGTATCAAGTAGCCAGTGGCCGTTGGAAATTGTCGGGCAATAAAATTAATCTGAGCGACTGACCAGTGGTCAGAGGAGTGCAATACCGGTTTCAGTTGTGTGTGTGAGTGGACAGAGGGGTGCCAATGCCTTCAGGCTCTGCTTGTTCTAAAGGCACATAGAAACTTATCTCTGTATTTTCTTCATCTACACCGACACAACTTTTTTTTTTCTTTCTTTTTTTCTTTTTTTTAATTCTACATTTAGCTGTTTGCCATTGTTAGGCGTTGAATCTTGTGTCGCCTAATGAGGCGGGGAATAATTGCTTATTAATGATCAACTGACCGCACCAAGCCATTGTTATAATCATATACACTGTTCTAATGACCACCAAGGGAATATCTGTATGAAAAGGGTATACTCAAATAAGCCTCACACACTGCCTACTGTTCTTCATCATTCACACAATTTTTATAGTCCATTTTTTTATTCATCTCTTTAATTAAAATCGTGCCAATGGTTGGTCAGTATTCTTCGATTTTATATAATGATTGTAAGTTTTGGTATTACATTTTTATATTTGCCTATTTTTCTATTTTCTCTTTTACTACTTTTCTATTTGTCTATTTTTTATTTATTCTTTTATTTATTTTTCTATTTATTTTATTTATTATTAATTTTTAAGTGTTTTTCGGTATTTTCGGTCATATTCGGTATGAAATTTGTCTATTTTCCTATTTTTATCTTTCACTATTTTTGTACTTATTTTTTTCTTGATTTTATTTATTATTAATTTTCAATACTAAAGTTGACTTAGAATTTCGCCAAACAATTTTAATATGATTCTAAATAAAAAAAAATAAAAAAAAAATGATTCTAATTCTAAATGTGACAGTTTGTAGGTGACTTTAAAATACCCAAAAAGTATCAGATTCCCTACTATTGAATTGAGACGTTAAACCCTAAATCAAATGTCATCGCCAAACAACTTGAATAAAAAGAACTTCTTTCTATTTTCAAAAAAGAAAAAAATTAGGTTTTTTTGTATTCTTTTTTTTCTATCCACGACATATTCGAAAGGCAATCATCATCTACATAAGGAAGTCGAGAATTTACGGATATATTTGAATAGAAAAAATAATTTTGTTCCTAAGCATCTGCCGGCCGGAAATATGTATGAATTTTAAGAATAAAAACTGGTTCAACTGGACAATTCAGAAAAAGCAGTTTTCTATGGATGAATAATAATTTGAAGGAGGAACTGGTTACGTTTGAGTATGTAATCCGGTCTGACACGTTTCGCCAAGTTTCAGGAAGAGTATTTCCGGTTTAAAAAATTAGATCCTTAGGGTATAACTGCATCGTATTTGCTACTTCTATTAACGAAAAAATAGATAAATATCTATTCTATGAATACACGAAAAAATTACAATGAAACAAATTTTTATTTTTGTCCAGTGTTTGAAGAAGGAAATAAATTATTTGCAAACTATTTTTCTTACTATTTGCCACTTGTTCGTATTTTTGTGGAAAAATGTACTATTTTAAGTACTATTTAATTCGGAAATTGTAAAATTTATTAAATAAATTAACTACTAAATTAAAATTACTACTAAAAAATAGTACTACTTTTACTAAAAATTACTAAACAAATTCCTAAAAATTACTAAAAATTCTTGCTATTTTGAATTATTGGCTCATTTTCAGGCCTCGCACTCATCTACAAAAACCTACTATTTACTACTTTTTTTTACGATTTGCTACTATTTGGATACTATTTTTTATTTGTTACACTAGAAGCTACTTTTTTCCATGTTTCAAAATTTACACTACTTTAAATTTGATAACAGTTGAAATAAAAAAATTATTTTCAAAAATTTTAATAAAGTTATTGGAACAAATTCAAAAAATTTTAATAAAATTCTTTAACGATTCAATTATTTTCACAAATTTTTCGCAATTCAATGATTTTTAGTATCTACTATTTTAATAAAAAATTTCCCAAAAGAATTGAATAATTTAAAAAAAAATATTTACAAAATTCTTCGCAAACATTCAATTCTTTTCAGAAATAAAAAGATTCTCACAGGAATTTAATTATTTAACAGAATTTTTCTAATATTTTTCGAAAAAATTCAATTATTTAAATAGATTTTCATAACATTCTTCGCAAGAATTCAATTATCTTTATAAACAATAAAATTCTTCTCGGGAATTCAATTATTTTTTTAAATCTTAATAATAATTGTTGCAAGAATTCAATTATTTTTATAAATATTAAAACTCATCTAAGGATTTCAATTATTTTTAATACAATTTTTAATGAATTGCGCGAAAAATGAAAATATTCTTAAAAATTTCAATAAAATTCTTTGAAAGAATTGAATTATTTAAAAAAATTTAATAAAAGCCTTTATAATAATGGAATTGTTTTCAATATAATTTTAATAACTTTTTTTGAAAGAATTCAATTATATTCATAAATAATAGAATGCAATTATTTTAAAATCTTTATTTAAGTTTGGTGACGAAAATTCAATTATTTTCATAAATATTAAAACTCATCGCAGAATTTCAATTATTTTTAATATAATTTTTAATTTAAAAATTTAATTTCAATTTAAATTAAAAAATTTGCGCTAAAAACGTAATTGTCCTTAAAAATTATAATAAAATTCTTCGAAAAAATTTAATTATTTAAAAATTCGTTGATAAAATTCAATATGAGAATTCAATTTAAAAAAATAATTAAATTGTTCAACAAATTATTTATTTTTGTTTTTAAATAACTGAATTCTAGTAAAATTTTCTCATAAAAATTTATTTAAATATGAACTTTAGTTAAAAACACTAAAATAATATTGAATATTGGAGAAAAGTTTCAAATTATTGCATAAATTCAATTATTTTCAAAAGTAATAAAATTCTTCGCAGAAATTCAATTATTTTTAAAAATTAAAAAAAATTCTATTTGAAATTTCAATTATTTTAATAAATATAGTAAAAGTATTTTCCGAAATTCAATTATTTTAAAAAATTTTAATGAAATTCTTGTCAAAATTTTTCTCAATTCAATTGATTTTTAATATCTACTAATTTAATAAAATTTTCCTAAAGAATTCAATTATTTGAAAAACATTTTAACAAAATTCTATGCGAAGATTTAATTATTTTCACAAATAATAATAATAATAATAATAATAATAATAATAATAATAATAATAATAATAATAATAATAATAATAATTTCACAGGATTTCAATTATTTACAAATTTTCTAAATATCTTGGCAATAATTCAATTATTTTCATAAATAATAAAATTCTTTTTAGGAATTCAATTATTTTTATAAATAATAAAAATTTCGCAGGAATTCAATTATTTACAAATTTTTTGTTTAATTTTTTGGCAATAATTCAATTATTTTCATAAATAATCAAAATTTTTACAGGAATTCAATTATTTACAAATTTTTTAAAAAATTTCTTGGCGATAATTCATTATTTTCATAAATAATAAAATGTCAGGGATTCAGTTATTTTCATAAATAATAAAACTCATGGCAGGACTTCAATTATTTTTAATACAATTTTAAATTAATTTCGCTAAAAACGTAATTATTTAAAAAAAATTGAATAAAATTCTTCGAAAAAATTCAATAATTTAAAAAAATGTCATACAATTTGTTTTCTAGAGTGTATTAATTATTTTTTCACTTTTAATTACATTTCTTGAATGAATTTAATTATTATTAATGATTTTAATCCAATTTTTCGTAAAAATTCAATTATTTGAAAAAATTTTGATAAAGTTCTTTATAAGTATATTCAAATTTAAGAATATCAATTTTGTTACTTTTTAGTACCGATTCTATTCTTTCGAAAAGAAACCGTAATTTAACAATTGGACCATATAATTAAAATTATATGGTGAAATTGTTAAATTGAACTAAATAATTAGAATTACATGGTCCAATTGTACAATATAATTCAAACTACATAGTAAAATTAGTAAATTAGAAAATTAAAAAAAGTCCAATTTTTGAAATTCAAAAATATATCTTCCAATTGTGATCTTTGATTTTTTTTTTTTTTTTTTTTTTTTTTTTTTTTTGATTTACAATTTAATGTTAATTTAATGCTCGACTTTGCTTGATTGTAATTACACAAGTGGATTAATCGTTAAGTGTAACAATTCCCACGGCCGAATATAACGACGGGGAGAATGGAGATTTCGGAGGAAAATTGGCGGAAGCAGAATGTACGTGTGATGGACGATAATATAACATTCGTCCCTTTAGTGGGTCAGTTGTGCCACGCACTGACCCTTTGGAACAGGTTTGCCACATATATAGCTGGTTCTCCTGCTAGTAATTTCTTTTCTCTCTTTTTCCCTCTCTTTCTATATATATATCGAGTCTCTGAGTGACCTCTCTAAATCCGATTGTCCATCTCATCCTTGGTCTGCTGTCTTGTTACACGAACTGGTTTTCTTTCCCACATATACGTGTCGGGGACCACTGGTCGTCTTTCACGATGGGACTGCTGCTTTTCGACAAAAGGGCATTTATAGAGGGAGGGGGGTGTACTGGTGGTGGTAGAATCGGCACTAGTGTCCAGTCTCTCTACTTTGGTCAGTTCGTAATTTCAATTCGATACTAGATCACCTTCTCAAGTGATAAATAATTATTCTTTTGCTTTCTGTATATTTTTATTGGAAAATTGAAAATTAATTTTAAACAATAGTTTTGGAATTTAAATAACAGTAAGTTACCATCAACTTATAATTTAAATACTAGTAATTAGTAATTAATAAATAATTAATAAATAAACCAGTAATTAATAACAATAGTAATTTTATAATTGAAGTAACAGTGATTTTCTAATTTTAAATATTAATAATTTTCACAGTTTTTCTAAAATTGGAAAAAATTAAAATTGAGGCAAAAGACGAATTAAAAGTATTGCTTTGCAACATTTTTAAATTCGTTTTTTGTCTCAAAAGACAAAATTCAAAATTGAGGCAAAAGACGAATTAATAGTGTTGCTTTGCAACACTTTTGATTCGTTTTTTGTCTCAATTTTAATATTCTTAGAAAACTTGTGAAAATTATTAATATTCAAATATTTTTCAGTTTTTCTAAGAATATAAAAATTGAGACAAAAAATAAATCGTCTTTTGTCAATATAAAAATTGAGACAAAAGACGAATCGTCTTTTGTCTAAATTTTCATATTCTTAGAAAAACCGTGAGCATAATTTAAATAAGTGAAATTGTGAAGTTTGAAAAAATAATAAATTTCCCTCTTTTTTCGAAATTACTGCCTTGGGAATGATTGGATAGAAAATTATCGAAGAGGGATAGTTATGACTTAACTTGTTTTTGAATTATAAAGTTTTCGAAAAGGAATGAGAAAAATGTGGTATAAATATCCGAGATAGTTGGAGAGAACGTCAAGTTTTCCAATTTCTCTTCCCCACTTTTCGTATATATTCTCAACTCGAGGGCGGAGTCCCGGATAAGCGGCCATGCTGCCACCCCCGTCTTAATAGTCTCACCCTCACGGCGAAAGCGAAATAAGGGATGAAAAACAGCACACCGTCCTGACGACCACTCCTCCAATGAAAACGAAAACTAGGGTAACTTTTTTTTTATTTCTTATTTTGGGTGATTTCTTCTGTGAAAGTAAAGTTTTTGATGTCTTGATTGATTTTAGAAAATATAATCTCTAATAGTAATTAATTAACAATTTTCATAGTAAAAATTTACTTATTATTTAAAAAACATTAAACAGTTCTATTCAACTGAATTTAATAATAATAGGAAAAAATTCGATTCAATTTGTAATTTTATAAAATTTGAATTTTCAATGAATTTAATTAGAAATTTTATAAAATTTCAATTTTCAATTAATTTAATTAGAAATTTTATAAAATTTCAATTTTCAATTTTAATTAGAAATTTTAAAAAATTCAAAATTTCAATTATTTTCAAAATAATTCAATTATTTAAAAAGTATTTTTAATATTCAAATTCTTTAGAAATTAGTTTCAATTTTTAATATATAGTATATTTAATTATTTATTAAAAATAATGGATTTATAGAAAACTTTTAGTTAAAAAGACTAAAAAAAATTGAATTTTGAAGAAGTTATACAAAAATGATTGCAGAAATTCCATTATTTTCAAAAGTAATAAAATTCTTATCACAAAATTAAAAAAAAAAATCTCGTCAAACTCCCAATTACTTTTATGAATAATGTCAATTCTTCTTTGAAATTCAATTATTTTCAAAAATTGTAATAAAATTCTTGGCAAAATTTAAATTCTTTTAAAAAAGTTTCCTCAATTCAATGATTTTTAATATCTAGGTACTATTTTATTAAAATTCTACGCAAGTATTTAATTATTTTCATAAATAATAAGAATTTCACATGAATTCAATTATTTACGAATTTTTTATAAAAATTTCTTCGCAATAATTCCATTATTTTCATAAAAAATAAAACTCATTGCAGAAATTCAATTGGTATTTAAAAAAATTTTTTTTTAATTATATCTTTATAAATAATAAAATTCCTCTCCAAAAGTCAATTAGTTTTAAAAAATTTAATAAAACTCTTGTCAAAATTTCAGTTATTTTCAAAAATTTTCCAAAAGAATTTAATTATTTAAAAAGTATTTTAATAAATTTCTACGCCAGCATTTAATTATTTTCATGAATAATAAAAATTTCACAGAAATTCAATTACCTATTTCCAAATCTTTTATAAATTTATTCGAAATAATTCAATTATTTTCATGAATAATAAAACTCATCGCACAATTTCAATTATTTTCAAAAGTAATAAAATTCTTCGCAGAAATTCAATTATTTGTAAAAATTAAAAAAAAATTTTCTTTAAAAATTCAATTATTTTTATATATATAATAAAATTATTTTTCGAAATTCAATATTCAAAAATTTTAATAAAATTCTTGTCAAAATTTCAATTATTTTCGAAAATTTTCCTTAATTTAATCATTTTTAATATCAACTATTTTAATAAAAATTTTCAAAAAGAATTCAATTATTTAGAAAAATTTGCAATAAAATTCTATGCAAAATATTTAATTACTTTCATAGATAATGAAAATTTCCCAGGATTTTAATTATTTACCAGTATTTTATAAATTACTTCGCAATAATTCAATTATTTTCATAAATATTAAAATTTTTTTACAGGGATTCAGTTATTTTCAAAAGTAATAAAATTGTTCGTAGATGTTCAATTATGTTTGATTCTCATTAAAATTTCAATTACCTTTATAAATAATAAATTCTTCTCCAAAATTTAATTATTCTCAAAAATTTAAATAAAATTTTAAGAAATTCAATTATTTAAAAAAAAATTTAATAAAATTTATCGAATTTAAATTATTTTTAATACAATAAATTTTAATCAAATTTTTAAAAAAATGTAATTATTTTTTAAAATTTATTAAAATTCGTCGAAAGAATTCAATTATTTAAAATTTTATGATTAAATTCTTTATGACAATTAAAATTTTTAAAATATTCAATTATTTATTTTTGTATTTAAAATTTTAAATAATTAAATTCTCATAGAATTTTCTGATAAAAATTGATTGAAAAATTAATTTTAGTTAAAATTTCAGATATTTTGAATATTAAAAGCTTCATAGCAAGAATTTTTTTAGAAATAATTGAATTTCGAAAAGGTTTCAAATTAAAATCCTTGAAAATCTGAATTTTTCATACTTTTAACTATGACAATCCTGTTAAATTAATTTTTTTGAAAAAGTTTAATTGACTTCTTTTTGAGATTATTTGAAGTTTTTGTTTCCTATTAATTATATATTTAGTTGAAGCATTTCCGAATTGATTTCGTAAAATTGATAAGATTTTTTTCATGTTTTATAATTATATTCTTAAAAGTTATTGAATTTCAAAAGGTTTGAATTTGACATTTTTAAAAATCCTAATTCGTATCGAAAAATAATATAATGATTATTTAATTTATTTATTTCATTTGAAATAAAACTTTTGATGTTTTCGAATAATTTTACAATTACAGAAATTCATAAAATAAATATAATAGAATATTTTTTTAAATATCTAATAATTTTTAGAGTGAATCAGAATATTCTCTACGGTCGAGGGAAAAAGTAAAAATTTTGTCTAAAAATCAGGGAAAAACAAAATTAAATTTTGGTGGCAACCCTGATGATAAAAATATTGAATATTATTATTATTTTTAATATTATTTAATATTTATTTGATTTTTTGGCCTAAACTATGGAACAATAATATATATTAAGATCTACACGAACATTAAAATAAAGCTGAGAGTCTGATATTTATTTTTATTATTTAGTAAAATGGAGGAAAAATATTGCTTTAAATAGTCAAATTTTACATATTTGCTCGAGTCATCAAAAATAAATTAAAAAATCAAAATTCAAAAGTAGAGCTTTCAGAAAAATCACCCGAAACTTCTGGTAAAAAATAATTTTTTGATTGTACCCAAAGAATATAAATATTTCCATTTTTGAAAATTGTATACCAAAAGGAAATTTGTTAGATTTGGAAAACAGTAACAATTTTTTTTTCTCTTAATTTTAAGCAATAGTTTTAAAAAAAACCTTTTTTCAAAAAAATTTCATTTCGAAAAATATAAGCAAGAAAACCCTATTATTTCTATTTCTCGGACGTAAAAGATTGATTAATAAGAAAACCCTACAAATGAATGAGCAAATTCCTGGTGAGTTACATAATTTAATACCGAATTCCCATAGTGATTGATGTGAGTGAATATTGACAATGACTGAGAGTGTGAATCGATTAATTCTTTTTCACTCTCGGGGAAAAGGGAAGCGAGAATCTAAAGAGAGTTTATAGAAGTCGTGAATAGTCTCGAGTTTCATCTTCTCTAGGATTCTCCTCCTTTTCCTCATCACAATTCTCTCTAAGTCGGCAAAGACGATATTTCTCTGTGGAAGCTTCTCCTGGAGTGAATGCTCCTTAATTTCCTTTGAGCCGTTTGCTTCAGAGTGCTATTCCCTTCTTGCTTCTTCTATCCTGCCACACTCGTCGACATCGTCGTTGGTTGCTATACCACCCCCATCCCCCCACACTTCTGTAGTCCTCACCTCGACACCCATATATTCCCCAAACCAACACCATCAACGTTCTCAAACCTTATTCTGTAATTTCGTTTACAAATGAAAGGGCCGCGAGCAACGACTTTGTACACTGGCGGCACACATATCTGTACAGAGAGTGAGAGAGACGCGATCTCCAGGTCCATGAGTTTCCGAAAACTGAAAATGGCACCAACTTGAAAAGCAGTGCTTTCAAACTGTACAGAGAGGGGGGTACCTTGTCTGTGAATTAACAGGTATAATTTTACGAAAGCTTCCTTATGTGCCGAGCATACATGTATTTCGAATTCGGTATTTCTGAAGGGAAATATTGGAAACTATGTATTAATAACTACACATAGTTAAAAAATATATACTTGACTCATAGACTACTGTTTTATTATTTCAAATCAAATTTTTATTTGGCACATGTGCATTTCTCTTTTGAGGAAAATAACATTTTTTTTTTTAATTTTCTACCAAATACAAATTTTATTTGAACCAAATGAAAATTCTATGAACCAAGTAAAATTTATTTGAACCAAATATGAGAATTATTTGAACCAAGTAAAAATTTGAACTAATAGAAAACTATTTAAACCAAGTACAATTTATTTGAA